GAGGACGACAAGCAGTTAGCAGCAAAGGGAGAGGATTTCCAACGACGATAGCATCAAGGAATCCACATCTGAGTCTGCCACGAGCCTGCCAGCCTTCCAGTAGTATTTCCTGCCTGCCAGCAATTACTAGCAACAGTTCTTGCCAGCAACTACTAGCAACAGTTCCTGCCAGCAACAGTTCCTGCAGCGGTATCAGCAGCGATTCCTGCCAGCAGCCCTCACCAGGTCAGGTTGTCTCTCTCTCTCTCTCTCTCTCTCTCTCTCTCTCTCTCTCTCCCTATCTCTTTCTCTCTACATCCGCGAGTGCGCGACGCGTCGACGAAGTAATCGCGATCTTCCGTGAACACGGCGAATTCCGTAATTGTGACGAGTCCCTCCTTTGTATTCTCTCAAAATAATTGTAACGTGCCCCGTGCGATTGTCCGCACGAGCGTAGGCACGCGGCGTTGAGGAAGACGCATGAACTCGCGTCGTCGCTTTTTATTGTTAAAAGTCGAGAACAAATATTGTTAACGGTTATCGCGAGTGATTATTGTGTGCGCCTTACATTCCTTTTCTCTCAAGCCGAAGTCCAAAACGCTAATTTAATGACGAAGCCCATTGTCATTGTTCAGAGGAGCGAGAGAGCCTCCCTTACCTTCCCCTTTAAAAATAATTTGTGATACGACGCTTGGGCACGGGCCTTTGCATTGCTCGTGGGAGTTACCATTCCCCATAACGTGTTCGATTTTTGAATCTCCAGTGTCACATGATCTTGAAAAGTTATATAAGATGTTATTATTAATTTTTTTTTCAGTAAATAGATAATTAGGTTCAAAAAACGGCCGATGAGCGTATAGCTTTCAAGAAACTGGCATTCAGTTGCGAGCGCAGAGTGGGAAGGGGGACGAGCTTCCCGCGGGTGAACGATTCGGTGCTCAATTCGATGCATGTTCAATTGCATTTTATTTTTATTTTTGGGTAATTTCATTTCGTAATAGTAATTATCATAAACATAAACAACTCATATACCGAAACTGTCATTCCATAACTATTAATTGATGATTCCATTTAACTAATTCTACTAAATTTACTAAGAGCCTGCTTGATCAATCTCCAAGCATTAGTTTTATAATATCTTTTCTTCCGGCCGAAGTTATTCATTCCAGTACCTTTAGGTTCATGAGTTTTCATAGATAAACGAAATTACAGATCAAATTTTAGCCAAAACCATCATTATAACTAATCATTATAAAATATACCACCTTTATTGATTGACCAATAATTAAGACAGCTAGTTGAATACGAGTTAATTTTTTAATGTACGAAAGCCGCTACATTTACAGTAAAAAATCTGAAGATACTATGACGAAACACTGGAGCCTCCTTAATATTATGCAGATAATCAAACTTTCTAAAATTTGTTTATAATCTATAAGCGAATTTTTGCAATTGACAAGATTTTTTACAACAAATGTTTACTATATAATATTTAAAATGACGCAAAAAAATCATGGTATCTTATACAAACCCCGTTTTATTCGCTCGAACTTTCCAACAATGTCGTTATTGGCACCGGTACCCAAAGTAGGAGCCTCGGAAAAGCGATTTATTTCAAAACAAAAATTTCTATTTTCATTTCAATATTCCGCCATGGAATGCTTTTTCAATTTCATTTTAGACAGTGAAAAAAACATTTTACAAGCTCTATTATTTTCGCTCGGTCTTTCAGAAAATATCAGCGCCTTACATACAGTTTGACAATGATAAAAAAGGATAATATATTTAAAAAAATTTTGTGAATGTCTTAAAGATAAAGTGATAGTTGCTAAATTATTGGGACAGACCCTTATTTACGATAGTTTAGTCTTCCTCAAAGTATCTCTTGTAGTTGTTCCGCTTGAATAATTTTTCTATGTGATGATATATGATTACAATTATACAAGAAGAAAGTTATTTACACATGTTTGTGCCAAAGACTTCTAATTTGTGGACATAAAAATAATAAATATAAGAAAATATGATAAAAAATATACAGTACCTTCAGCATTTTAAATAAAATTTCCAATGCTGCTCAGTAAACTGCAATAAGTATTCTGAATATTTAAAACTATACATTTTTGATAAATAATTATCGTAGCAACATAAAATAAAAGTTTGTAATTGAGTAAGATTGTTAAATTTTAAATTGAAGTGAAAAATAAATAAATAATTAAATAAATATGCCTGCAAATATTTTTTCATAACCAAATTTCGGAAACTGTTAGTTGGTTATTGGATTTCGACTACGGCGATCGTTTTAAAAAAATACTGCTTGGTTTTGTGGAAAAGTTACATAAAAAAGTATGGTGTAGTGTGATCGACGAATGTGTGACGAGAGCAAGCGATGCGCTTATTCTCGTCGGAATTTTCCCAAGTTCCCCTCTCTCTCGGCAAGGCACAGTGACCAGCGTTAGGCGCATTTAAGAATGCGTCTAATGCATGGTCTCTGTTTCAGCTGACGGAGATTGCCGAGCGGGGCCGAGTAGGCTCGAAGCGGCTACACTGGCGATAGAGAGAGTATAGAGATGTTAGAGAGAGAGAGAGAGAAATAGTCGGGGGCATGCGTACCCTACGCAATATTAGGCAGGCGAGCGTTAGAACCAATTAGCGCGTTAGTTGCGCACCGTCTAATAAGTAGGTCAAGTGGGGAGAAAAAAGATCGGCGAAGAAGTTGTAGGTCGCGAGAAAAAACGAGCGACACAGACGCTAGTAAGTCGAGGAGAGCTCAGAAGGTTTTCGGAGTCGACTAGATCAGGACAGTGGACGGCTAGCGGCGAAGAAGTTCAGCCGAGGACAGAGGGCCGAGAGGAAGCCGACAGGAGTTGCCCAGCGACGACCTGCAACACCGTACGCAGGGCGCAGCCAGGACTCCCGTTCCAAAACCAAGGTCTAGTTTTAAATTTAATCTCTCTCTCTCTCTTTCTCTCTCTCTTCATCGACGGCACTGTGCGCGAGTTTTAACATTAGGTGGGTAGCAAGGCGTAAAATCGAGGTTAGTATTTATGCATTTATTCGCTGTCGATTTTAAATTTCAGGCGTTACAAAATTGAACAATATTAATGAAATGACATTTCTATTTTTAGGAGGAGTAGGAAGGAAAGATGAAGTAAAGAGCGAAATGGTAAAACAAGTAGAGGGATACAAAGGACAAGAAATGAATGAAGAAAAAGGCAACGGCGAAAAGATAGAAGTAGCAAGAGACGAACAAAAAGGAGAATCAGACCAAGGAAGAAAAGGTGAAGAAAGAATAAAAGAAGAAAATATGGAAAAAGGTAGAGAATTAGATTGAACTTTTAATTTACGGATTATAAATTCAAACAAAATAATCAATATAAATCTTACATTTTTAGGTGAAGGAGCAAAAGGAGAAATGGGTGAATAAAGAGGAGAAAAAGAAGGAATGAAGGAAGAAAGAATAAGATCAGCTGCTGAAGAAGAAAATACAGTTATCAATAAAATTTTGAGGTTATAGTTTGAACCAAAAGCCGGAAGCATAATTATAATTACATATAATCATAGATCAAATATAAAATATAAGCAGTGCAGTTGCATGTACATGCCTATGCGTATGAATTATACCGAGTAACTCGCAACTTGTTATACATCTCTCTCCCCACAGCCGGCAATAATATTAATTATAAAAAAACTATGTAATTTTATGCAGGAATTGTTCCAGTGCAGAGCAGAAGTCAGCAGACTAATAAGTGACGAGTCCTTATTTGAATATCGATTGCTATCTCCGCTGAACCTCGCGGAGAGACGATCGTCTTGAAGGGAGAGAGAACGTAAGCGCGATTAGGCAGTGCGTAGCCGACCGACAAGAAAGCGATTGCGCAGTGAGTGGGACGCTTTTTGACTATCACGATTTGGCTAATCGAGACAGAAGAACGGAGAACAACCACGCTCGTAGACAATTCCCGAGGGACCCCTAGATATTCAAGCGGTGGTCCCGATAAGCAAGCACGCGAAATCAGAGAAAAAAGTATACACGCGACGGTCGAAAGCCTTGTAGCTGTACTGTGTGAAGCGGATGCACCTTTGTTAGCCACTGAACAAGAACACACCATAAGTACCAGTTAGATACCTGAATTTCCCTTTCTTGCTCTCTTCTCTAGTTTGCTTGTTTTTTTCGTTGGATGTTCTTTCACATTGTGCAGACTGTTATTTCGTTCCTTCTTGATGGCGTACTAATATTGCGGTTCAATATCCACGGCGTGATTCGTATTTCATAATTACAATGAGGTTAAGCGCGTCCGCTTACTCATTTGTATACCGCACGCCGGTTCGTTCGCGACCGTTATTTATTGTAGCTCACAACGATACGCGTCTGCCTGTACTGCGCATGCACATTATCTGTTTCTGTGAGCGCACGTTTTTTCGAAGCCCTGAAGTAGAAGTAATATAGTAGATTCAAGTCAGGTGACCGCGCAGGTAATTGTATCGGTTCATTGTTTTCCATCTAACGATCGAGATATACCTTGAAATATTGAAAAAGAACATTCCATGATCAAGAAGCTCCAGAAATTACATATGTTTGAATTATTTTTATGTAGAAGTCAACATCGACCGGTACTACGTTAGTTCGATTCATTTATATGTTTATCTTTACGTTTCATCACTGAATCCTTTTTATTAGTGTAACATGTAATAGAATAGTAAAATATAATTGTATATCGAGCAAAAATAAATTCAAGCGAGATCCTTATAGAAAAAGATACAATTATTACAATTATTAGGTTATCAAAAATAATAAAGGATTTGTATCCATGGTTATAAACAATTAAAAAAGAATGACAGCGTAATGTTATTATATACGCAAAGTGTTCAACAATGAGTATCAAAAAAATTACTCCAGAAAGTGCCGAAATTGACTCAAAGCCATTATAAATATCTAGTTTATAGAGACATTTTTTCCACGATATCATGCTTCCTATTGGAAAGAGATCTTTAAAATTAAAAATAAGGAAATTGACTGTTACCTTGTCAAGATGTTCTCGAACAATTACTGCAATATGTGGTGGTGCCCCGTCATGCATAAATATAAAGTTAACCTGTTGTTCTTGCGTTAAAAAATCGTTTAATAAATCTGACAGAACGTTTAGCAGAAAATTGAGGTATGTTATAGCAGTCAGTGGCCTTCGAAGCTCAAAAGGTCCGATAATTCAATCCCTATATAGGCCTGTCCAAGTGTTTGCTCAGAAGCGATTTTGAAATTTATCTGGAACATTTTTTTTTAATAATAGTAATAATAAACTAATATAGACGATGACATGTCTATTATGATATTTTTCAATCAAATAATTGGATCCATAATTTTGTAGAAATTGAATTCATTATACAAGATGATTCAAAAGGAAAATAGCTCTCGGAAATGGGTAATAGAAAAAAATTTCATAAATCTATCGCCTTTTTAAAACAATATTTATGTACAATAGTTCTCCCAGAACTCTTAGAAAAAGTGTTAAAGGTAGTGGAGACATGAAGTCGGGCATACTCTCTGGGAACCAATCCCTATAAAATAGAGATTGTTGTCTTCACCACGAAATACAAATATAAACGAGTATAAGTAACAGGGCTAGTTACTACACTTTTTTACGTTGAAATGCTTTTTTTCGCTGTCAAAAACGACAATGAAAAAAGCATTTCACAGCATGATTTTGAATTAAGAAATGCAAATTTTTGGTAAAAAATGCGCTTTTTCCAGACTCCTACTTGCCCAGCCATACAAAGAACGACATTTTCGAAAAGTTCATGCGAACATAACAAAGATTGTATGATGTAGCCATAATTGATTTGCCTTTTTAAATATCATAAACATCTGCTGCAAAAAATCTTGTCATTGGCAAAAATTCATTTGTCGATAAGAAACAAATTCTAGAAAGCCTGATACTCCGTAAAGCACGAAACATAATTGCACAGTGAATAAATTATCTGCTGGATAATCAGAATTGTCAAAATAATATTAATTTTCATATTAGTATAAATATCTCGACACGTTACGGTAATGTCTCAGTTTTTTGACCTTGATCACAAATACCTATTGCGATAATGCAATAAATTATGCGTTCGTATATAATACTGCTAATTGTGTATTTGGCAAATAAATAAGCAAAAGGTAAATTAAATTAATGCAAACTTTAATTAAATAAATGAATGGAAATCATATTAAGCCTACATAAAAAACCCTAGATATAAGTAGGGAAAAAACCATGTAAATAAATTACCATACAGTAAATTACCATAAAGATACAATGAAAATATAATTAATTAAAGCGTTCAAGCATCCAAGCGTTCAAGCGTCTAGAATTCTGTTCTCTCACCAGGTCTGCATATAATACACGAGAGCATGATAGAGAGAAGTATCTTCAACTCGATAACGCGGATAGCCCTTGCTGACGCTGTGTGATAAGTTAATGACATGGACTCCATGCTGATCGTGTGATCGAATAGATTTAAACGGAGCCTTCCTGTTGCACTATTAAATCATAACAGGCTTCTTGATCATAATTGAGAGTGGCACTCCAAAGTAAGTAGATTTTACTTAAGCAATAGGTGGCCCTATCTTTAACTCTTTGAAATTGACGTTGGTCACTTTCAGCAGTCGAAGAGTGCACGTCTGCACACTTGTATGTACATACACACACACATGCTCACAAAGTAAAATAGATGCGTTTCAACTGTATCGTTACACAAACTGTGGTTCGGATTCCACTTATGATGTGTGTGAAACTTTCTCCTTTTGCATCATTTTAAAAAATGGTGGGAGAGGTGGGTATACATAATCATGACTATACGAGTAGGATGCCAAGATTAATGTGTACAGGTACCTCTATAGCGTTCCACATGGATGTACTCGTAGTTCTTGAAGTCACAATAACAAGAACAACAAAAATTTCATTTAAGATAGTGAGTTGTACTTGCCGATATTTCGGAAAGAATTCATACCTTAATTTTCTGTGGTATGTGAACACGTCAAAACTGGTTTTATCCTTCAGACTCTTGATAATAAATTTAATCGGTAATTTAAGAGGACGGCATCTCATAGTGCTAGCGCTAACTTTTGCCGCTACTTGGGTATGTTTAGTATGTTTACTATAGTTTTTTGTGTTGCGCTCGCCACGCAATTGGTGCATACATATTGGAGTTTTCCCAGACGTGTTCCAACGCGAAATAAATATGGTTATTTGTAGTTGGTCTCTTATAATGTTTAAGTGCCAGTGAGTTTCTGACAGAGAACTCTTTTTTTTTGTCATTGTGTACAAGCTTTGAGCACGTGATAAAACTAAACCTAATGAACGGTAATCATTTCCTTGCAAGAATGAATGAATAGACTCATGCATGTTCTCAATACAAGAAGCGCTTATGACGTAAAAAGAACTAAAATAATATTTTTAGATTATGATAAATTTCTTTTATATTTGGTCCCAAACATAGTAGTCAATCTGTTCGTACTAGTTAATTTTACCTTTCTACCTAACTTTCCTTTGTTTAACTAATTTTTTTACGTCTTCCGACTCTTTTTCAACAACATTTACTCCACCTTCAGTATTTTCCGGCGTATAATCGTCAGCAAAAACTAACATGTAGATTCTGAAAAACCTTGACTTCATCTACCATTACTTTCACATTACAAAAACCAATCATATTTCGTTTTATATCAATGTTTCTAAAACTTGTTCTGCATTTATCTAAATACCAAATAACAGTACACTTTTCTTTATGCTTAGAGAAAAATACCAAATAACAGCACGCTTTTCTTTAGAAATAGATTTCTATCCAACTGTCTATCGCATGAAATTATTAATCTTTTTCGTATGGTTCAAAAAAATACTAGTAATTATCTAATAATTGTTTAAACTTTATTCACAAAAAAAACTTACTCTTCTTCTAATACTTTTTAAAGAAAATCTTTCTTTTATGGTTTCTTACAGTAAAGCACTATTTCATTTTCACTGCTGTTTGACACTTGTGATGGAGAAAACCATTTTGCTAGCTATGTCCTCTTCGGCCGTTGTCTTTCGGTATCAGCGTGCGTGTCCTCATTAAATTGGATGCATATGTGTGTGCATGATTATATCACTCATGCTCGGTTTTACTTTGATTTGAGGAGCTGATTAGTAAAGTCGAGAGTGAGAAATGCGATACAGTTACAACGCATCTATTTTGCTTTGCGAGCTTGCGTGTATCCGTATGCATATAAGTGTGCAGACGTACAGTTTTCGACTGAATAAAGTACCTACGACGATTCCAAAGAGCTAAAGACAGGAGCAGCTGCTGCCTCAGTAGAGTAGGTTCTACTTCCTCTGGAATGCCTTTCTCATTTTTCAACAAACCGGGAATAGGATGACGCGTATGAGAAGAGAGAAAGAGAAAGACCGATAGAGATAAGAGAAGAAAAAATGTGTAGCTCAACGCAAAAGCAAGTGAGCGCACATGGAAGCTGTATTGCGTGCTCACCGCCTCGACTATTCGTCGTTGTAAATGCAGCATTACCGTATGTCATAACTCATGTATTAATTAATGTTCTGATTATTGTTTTTGTTCTTACAACCTTAAGAGCGAGGTGCATAACATTTTTTTTAAGTGACTTCCTATACTATTATATTTTTCTGTAATTTACACGATTATAAGCAACCTTATCACACGAATTAGTTTTTATTTTCTTTTCTCTTTCTTTTTTTACTTTCGCATTGCGAAGACGAATCAGCACCATGGTTCAAATCAATACCACAAACAAGAACACCCTAGTTCAACGACTCGAAGAACTCGGCAAAAAATCATTCTAGAACATAAATAATCTACAATCAATAGTACGAAAATTCGTCCGTGAATATTTCAATCATCCCAAAATAGCCGTATGAAAAACCGCATTCTCCTGACGTACAACAAAAGTAAAAGCAGTCTCATAAACGGATCGTCTATCAATACTAAAACCGTTAGTAGAAGTCTTAGATCCATACAGATCGATGGAAACTATCAAAAAGTGGAACTACCAATTCTAAGAAAGCAAGTTATACGTGTTTATAAACCAACTCTAGGAACTAAAAAACGCTTACGGTCTTGGTGAAGCATAACTCCTGAAAGGGATACCTGAGTTTTTAGATAAAGACTCGTTGGGGTGAAGTCGCAACAGACAGCACATCTGGGATTCCTAGAACGACTTGTTAGCTAGCCTGAAGGATAACTTCCGCACACCGGACGTCATAATTGAGCTCGAAGATAAGATCTATTGCATAAAGTGAATGCCTTACGAAAAAATTCATATCCACGCAACTCACTTTCAAAAAATACTGGTGTGATAAAAAGGTAGGTTCTTGCTTCAGCAGTAAATAAATCAGATCTACCAGAACTTCAGGCCCAAATACAAGCTACATTACATCAGAGATGGTATATCTTGGATTGAACAACTTTTAGAACGAGAAGAACACTTCAAAACCCTCCAATCTCAAATTTCTGCACAAACGCAATCTAGTAGGAAGAACATAAGCGACAAAAATAGCAACATCAAACCTACCATACTTCAGAAGAAAATACTACTGGAAATGCAAAGAGCCTAGGCACGCAGCGCAGATGCACTTACCCTAGTAAGCTATTTTATTTCTATTATGGAAAGAATAATATTATATCTAAGAACTGCAGATGCCCTCAGCCAAAAAACACTACAGACGGCAGAAAGCCAGAAAAGACCATTCTGCCTACAAAATAAATAGTAGCGAATTAACTCTACCCATCCAAATCCAACATTAACTAATCAGGGCATTAATTGATAACGGAGCCGCATATTTCTTTATTAACGAAAAAATCTCAAAATTATGCGAACAAAATCAATGGGTAACATCTGATGAATATCTAGCCGTCACAATGGCAGAGGAAAGAAGTATCAACATCAACAAAAACATGGAGGGCACTATTAACATCAGAAGATGAAATGCGCATTCTATTTGATAAAAATCCCTTTCCACCCAATAGTACTTGGACAAGACTTCCTGAAGAAGGTGAATTTTAAAGCCACTTATCTTACTCGTAGAATCCTAGTCACACCGGAAACATAAGTTAAACCATCCCAATAACAAACGAACTGCAGCTGTATTTCTAAAAAAAGAGTGCTCATTCTTTTTTGGAATGCAACACTACATCCGAAAAAAAAATCATCAAGGATTTCCTACAAACAGAGTTACTCAGATTCAACAGCATTAGAGGACCTGCCCCTTTCTTACA